AGTTAGTTGTAATGGCTATACACTACTTCCAAGACAAGAGGAAGCATGCCTCTGAATGTCAGTTACCGGAAAGCAACATAACCAGAGGACAGTCATCCTCACATTTTGTTAATGGGCTTTACAAGGGGTGTCTTATTGCAGCAAAGAGGTAGAATACAAAGCCTCTGGCATGACCCAGTAATCTCCTTTCAGGTTATTATGCCATTGCAGATTGGTGTGGGAAAGAGAACATTTTTTCATATGTTTAATGTTACTGTTTTTGTTCCTCAAATATTGGTTCTCTTGGCCAGAGTATGGAAAAATTACTTTTTTCGGTAACAGGTCCCAGAAACAGCCAGCCAGCATTGCCAATGAGTATGTTCTTAGGGCAGTTATTTCCAGGGTCCTAATATAGCTCCCCTGCTCCTAGACCAGTGGTCAGGAAACAGGGGTAAAAATGAAAATCCTGGGGGTAATGAGGACGGTCGCGGTAGGCATTTTACTCCAAAGCATTTTATTTCTGACGATGCTGTGTGTAGGCGGGCATTCCATTGCAGGGAGAGCGAGCCCTGGTGAGGAACTGCACAGGGCACCCTCCTGCCCTCCTTGCCTCCAAAGTGGGGGGAGGGCAGCGTACAGGGCCAACTGGACTCTTTTCCCAGCGGAGCCCTGGCTGGGGCTCTCCCGGAGCGCTGGCGAGAAGGCCCCACCCCCTCACCTGAGCTCCTGGCCAGTGGCCCTGTGGCCCTGTGGTGCTGGCCTCCCTTCACCAAGGATGCGCTTTCCCGGCAGCGTGGCGGCTTCAGACTGGTTGCCCGAGCAGCAGCCGCAGTCCCAGGTGAGCACAGAGGCAGGGGGGCGGCCGCAGACAGCAAGAACCGAGGGGGGTAATGTCAACGTATATACATTTTTTGGGGGGTAAAAGGTAAAAAAGTTCCCTGACCCCTGTCCTAGACAGATACCTAGCACTGACAGCATCAAATGGACATGCTAAATGCTGTGAAACCCCTCCCACGCCCCAGCTGCTGGAAATAAAAGAGGCATTCCTTGTCACACTGATCCTCTTTTTTCCTGCTTTTTCCTTGCATGACTTCATGGCAAATGAGATTGCTTCCGGGAGTACATTTTTGCAGCAGCTTGTGCTCTACACTTCATAAATCAGCTTTAAAATGATATCAAAGATGATGTCACTTCATCCCTCACCTTTATTCCTTGGCCAAGACTCTCCAGAGAGTTAATATCCAGACCTTCTTTGCAGGCCTGTAAACAGGAAATCACTTTCTGACTCTCAATTTTGCCGGGTCGGATGGTGAGGCTGGCAAGACTGCCATGGAAATACTGAGCAAACCGGGGTTTCGTGACTTCACCTCCTATTAAAAACAGAAACACATATCATTGCTGCTGATGATTCATATGCACAGATTTATTCAGGACTATCAAAACTTCCAGCACTGTCTTAAACATTTGAAGCAGTCAGCAATCCAGCTGCTATTTTTATCATGAGCCAAATTCCAAGTAGAATATAGTTTATGCATTATTACAAAGACATTTGCTGTTATGCTTAAGGTTCTGTTATGCTTAGGTCTCTATTACCATTTACGTTATTACAAACTCATATTCTAGAAGCTATAACTTAGCTGTCGAAATGCAAAATGCATTCAAGCCTGAAATATGCCATTCAAAACTTCAGCCCTGCAGCATGTGAGAGAAAAGTTATTTCTGCTGTTTTAATTTGGAAACAAGATAAATTAAACATCAGCCTCTATTATATTCCTGAAGAGGCTTGTCATTCTATAGATCAAAAAGGAAATTGGAATACTGCAGGCTGAATTGAACCAGAAAGTACATACCAAATTAGAAAGAAAGCAACTCATATTTCTGTAGAAAGTAAATCTATGTTATAAAGCAGTCCACTCTTTGTTAGTAGTATTTAACTAATTGGCTTCCTACCAACATGCTTAGCTGCTACATAAATTAGAACTGTCTAAAATGAGTGCTTGAGACTGAGTGCTAAATAAAAGTGATACACTGACAGATAAAGCAAAATAATTAATTTCATATTAGGAACATTAACCCATTTGTAACTCATACCTGGTTTCAGTAAAATCAGTGGGTGTGATATAAGCGAATTGAGAGCAGCAGAACTTTTGACATTAATTTTCTGGTTTCAGTAAAATCAGTGGGTGCAGCAGAACCCACTGGGTTCTGAGAGCAGCAGAACTTTTGACATTAATTTCATGTACATTAGGTTTTTTGAATCAAAGATAATAGTGTTATTTTTAATTTCATAAAGACAATAATTGGTACCTAGACTCTAGCTATTAGCAATTATTGAAACAGATTACCTGACAATACATAAGGGGTACTGTCAATTCTAGTTCAATGCATGAATTCATTTAGCCCTCAGACCATTGAATTCGATCCATTGGTGGTCAATGAAAATGTCACATTCTTGTTCTAGTAACCATGATTATGTGGTTTCAGATAAACCATGAGTATACATATTGCAGCCTCCTGCCACATTCAAAATTAATCATCCCCTTCCTTCTATTTAGATAATTTAGCACTTCATTTGCAGACTATAGTTGCCTAGTGCACAGCTTGTATATACTGAGAAACAATACTCACTCTGAAACCTGGTGTTAAGGCGCAAAAAATTAGTATTTATTATATTTGTAATAGCATAGAGGAGTCACTAATTTTATACAAAGGATTGGTGGTACTCATTTCTATAACTTGGAAGAGGAGGGGAGGAAAATTCAGAAAGAAAGGATAAGTGAGCTTAAAAGTATCAGTCTGATGGCAGATCTAGAAAAGACAGTAGGACAGAACACATCTAGACTATCAACTTGCCTGTTGCCTGCACCATGGTTTAGATTGCTTGCTATATGCATCGCTACACCATTTCAAACTCTTCCATAAGTTCACTTTACTCAGACTTAAGTTTTGTGAAGTTGATCTGATCATTAATAGTTACAGTTATGGTTTGCAGAGTAGTTTCAATCATAGATTAAAAGCCCAGCCTTGTTTATATTAGCATCAGTGAAAATATTCCAAGAAACCATGGAGCACAATTTACAGAGTGGAAAGAGAAGAATAGCACACTCTTTATAGCCTAGTCATGAATGTATACTGTGTCTACTCCAGGCTCTGGAGAAACAAATCTACCAATATCCAGAGACACAAATGCCCTGTATGTATGGCATATAATTCACTTAGTATGTATTAGTTTATAATTGTTCATTATTTATTATCTTCACTTGTGAAGCATTTACCAGATAAATAATTCCTGTAAATGGACAGCGAACATATTCAGCTTTTCGAACAGCACAAGATGTTCTAATTGTATTGTTTCTGAAGTACATCAGTTAGCACAGCTTTATAAGCATTTACTTACACTTAAAACAGAATATCCACTTACAATGGACAAACTCATGCAGAATGAAGTGGAAATTCACTGCTAGAGAATAATGTGAAATGCAGAGCAAGGCAACCAAAAATAAATCAGACAAAGGAATGTTGCTGTGATATGTTATGATACAAGGCCTCTTAACTCGAAGGATTAGGTTCAGCACTGGTAGACAGTTTTATACTTCATATTGTTATTTATATAGCACTGCTAGTGTATGTGGCACTTGATGAACCAACCTTTGGATGATCTCTGGCACTAACTTTCTCTCCTCCCCCCCCCCGTTCCCGAGGCATTCTCACATGTACACAGGAATTACCTTAACCATTTCTTTATTAAATGTTTCCACTAATTAATAACATTCACAAAAAGGCACAAAGAAACTAAAGCCACATCATTAACCAAAACTATGGAAATATCCACTGGGGAAAAATATGGAAAATGAAGCAGCATATAAGAAATTCTTAGTTAACGAAAAAGCAAAAGCATGCTGAAAAGCACTGGGTCCCCCATCTCACGTTTGGATCCACTGATGGGTAGCTTTAATGTTAAGTAGGTCTGCCATTTTAGTAGGGCTCCCTTGTGAGAAGGCATTCTGCACAAGACATGGATGTCAGTCAATCAAAGGCAGCACTGGCTTGGCCAAGGCTTAGGACTAGGGACCAGGGGAGTGCAAATCTCCTTCCACTCTATTATTGGGATATATTAGCCTCATGCTAGTATTGCTTAGCATTATTTCTTCATCAGCCTTTGACAATGAACAAGAGGAGGGGGAAGAGAAACAAGGAAGAAGCCGAAGAGGACAAAAGAAAGCCCAGCATCTCTAGGAGTATTATATATGGTGCCAGGAGTAAGGCCATAGTTGATGCACACAGAAGGGACAAGTCACTTGCCCCAGGTCCAGAAGTCCAGCAAGTAGAAAAGGTCTTGGGAATACACAAACATAGCTATCAGAGCAGGTGGAAGAGGATATCACAAGAAGTGGAGACTTTGGACAGTGATCTGGACTCAACAGATCAGTGTGAAAGTCTTATATGTGTATGGCACCTGTGTACTGTCTGCACATATAAGCTAGTTGCAAGTTGAAGCAAACTGTTGGGAACAAGTACAGTGGTGCCTTGCATAGCGAATTTAATCCGTGCAGCAAAAATTGCTGCTAAGCGATTTTGTCGCTATGCGATTTTAAAAAGCCCATAGAAACGCATTAAAACCTTTTTAATGCATTCCTCTGGGCTTAAAACTCACCTTAAAGCGAAGATCCTCCATATGGTGGCCATTTTCGCTGCCTCTTAAGCGAGGAATCCGTCCCTACACACAGCGGGCGGCCATTTTTTTACCTGGTAGCCATTTTGGAACCGCCGATCAGCTGTTAAAAAATCATCGCTTTGCGATGATCGGTAAGCGAAACAGGGAACCAATCATCGCAAAGCAAAAAAAACCCATTTAAAACATTGCAATGTGATCGCTTTTGCAATCGGAAAAACCTAATCACTATGCTGTTTCGTCGCTAAACAGAGTGCCCATTAAGCGAGGCACCACTGTAGTTGCACCTACATGGGCCTTTCACGCTGCTTGCAGAAAGACAGAGAATGAAGTGGCAACATTGTGACTCGTGAATCTTTTGTTGCATAGGCTTTAGCAGCAGTCATGCAAGCTCTGGGGGAAAAACCTCCTGTGGGCTAGTGGTGAATCTTTTATAAACGCAACACAAGTGTAAGGACTGGGAAAAGTCCCCATGTGTCATGCATGCTGTAGGTAAGGCTCCAAGAAATCCTGTCCAAGGAGCAATGGCAACAACTACTGCAGTTCCTGGACAAATTTTGCTCCCAGGCCAAGTGCAGAAAAACATTTCTCCCCTCATAAGAAAGAAGTCTAGTTGCCATGACTCAGCTTCCAGATAACCTCACCTGCATGAGTGAGAATCTTCATAGAATTTCCCCCCTAGTTTTAGACTGCTATGCTGTCTCATTTTGCCAAGATTCTGGAACCACTTAGCCAGATACCTCATTTATCTGTTTCTATAGTTAGGCAGCCCACAAGCAGCTCCAACTCCTTTATCTTTTCACTGTATCATCACAAAAACTCCAGGAAATCTCTTCCTCTGTCTTTATGTGGATAGTGAAGAGGAAAGAGCAGCCTAAAGTTACGCCATAGAAGCTCAGATGTCTCCTCTAAGCTGGGTTGGTGAATTATTCATAGAAATCTGGTGTGTTTAGTTACCTCAGTAGGGATGTACAGAATACTTGTTAAATTCTCTGTTCTCATCAATTTAGGCTGCCCTGGCTTGCCAAGACACTTGAGATAATAATATTCCAACCCCAGAAGATTTCATACCTCCAGGCAAGAGGGAGACAAGGAGTGAAATTTTTACTCTCCAAGGTCTCAGTAATTTGCATGACCAATCTTTGCATAAAAGGAATGTCTCTTGCATTTGAAAATCAAAGCATAGCAATACAGCAAGTACAGCATGGGCATTTTTTTAAAAGCCCAAAGGACCTCTCCAATGGGTCTAATCCTTAAAAGCCAATGCCACAAAGCAGTAGGTCTTATCTTCTATGGGTTGTGTCATCTGTGTTAAACCATGAGTAGCAGAGTTTTGTTCTACACTATGAGGAAAGAACAGTTAGACTTGGATATGGAACAACTGATTGATTCAAAATTGGGACAAGCCTGTATATTGTCTCCCTGCTTATTTAACTTATATGCAGAATACATCATGTGAAAGGCTGGGACTGGATGAATCCCAAACCAGAATTAAGATTGCTGGAAGAACAACCTCAGATATGCAGATGATACCACTCTGATGGCAGAAAGTGACGAGGAATTAAAGAACCTCTTAATGAGGGTGAAAGAGGAGAGTGCAAAAAACGGTCTGAAGCTCAACATAAAAAACCCTAAGATCATGGCCACTGGTCCCATCATCTCCTGGCAAATAGAACTAGAAGATATGGAGGCAGTGAT